CCGCGGCGCCCCCGCCCCGCTGGAGCAGCGCCCGCGCGGCCGGGCCGGGCCGGGCCGGGCAAGGCGCCCCGTCGCCCGGGGACCCGGAAAAGGCGCGCGCGCGCGCACCCCGGGGAGGCCGCATGCGCGCTCCAGCCGCGCGGGCGCTCCTGGCCTAGCGGCCTTGGCCGGGTTCCACTCCCGCCGCCGCCGCCGCCGCCGCTCCCACGGCCAGACGCCGAGATGCGCACCCACTCGCCCGCTGGGGTTGGCCTGCTCCGCTCGGGCACAGGCCGTCAGTGCCCGCAGCCACCACGCCAACTTCCGTCACATTCGGCTCACACATTGCGAACACAATGCGTGCACCGTCCCACTAAATCAGGGGTCCTCGAACTCTTTCACCAGGGGGCTGGGCGCGGGCTGGAAAGGTGGTGCCCGTGGCGCCAGCGAAGGGATGGGGGCGGGGGGGTGCGCACCTGCACAAAGGCGGCGAGGCGAGGCGCATGCATGCGTGCGCGGGGAGGGGAGGGGAGGCGAGGCGAGGCGAGGCGAGCATGCACCACAAGGCAGGGGCGCAAGGCGCCCGTTGCTCACGCAGAATCGTTTTCTCCAAGCAAGTCCAAAACGATCTCTGTGCGAGCAAGCAGGTGCCTCACTGTGCGTGCGTGTGTGTGCGCGTGCGTGTGTGTGCGTGCAGACCCGGCAAGTCCAACACCTCTAAGGATAAATGGGCATGGCGGGCCAGATCCGGCCCCCGGGCCATACTCTGAGGACCCATGCACTAAATCATCCTGCGAGCACCTTGGACTTCCCACGACTTTTCTGCATGACCTGGGATGCATCCTGGCCAGAGGTCTGGGGAGCCTTAGTTATGGACAGAATTATCTTCATTTAAAGGAACAAAATACTTTAAAAGCCACCAGTCTCTAGTTCATGGTATCTTTTCATCAAAACACCTTATACAAAATAGTGCAAAGTTTGAAGACTGTACTATGTGGTACAAGGAAGGGCTTGGTCTGGGTTGCCCTACTTGCAAAGCGCAAAATTAGTTTATTTTCAGAGAACGTGAGATCATTCAATCTCATATACATCTGAGAATATGTTTTGATACAGCACCATATACCCCAAGTGGAGAATCAGATCTGATCAGGTAGCAAAGACACAGTCAGCAGCGTGTGCAGAATTCCTGGCAGGATGATTTCGAACAGCAGTGATGCGCACGCACGAGCAGAGGAAGGAGCGGATGAAGACTAGCTCTGGGCACCGAATTCTCAGACAGGCCTGCCTGCTCCATACACAGGGATGCATATACATTTCATATACCGAGATGGAACCACCAGCATGCAGAACGAGAGTTTTGAGCTGGCCCGCAGGTCACAGGCCTGCTCTTCATATGGCCAGTGGCAGAAGGTCCGGGGGGGTCACGGGGACCGCAACTTTGCAGCCACTGCCCGCTAATTGTTGCTGTGAGCCACTCCCGAACCTGAAATGCATTGCTAGGCTCAGATCAGGTGAATTTTCATTTCAGATGCATTGCAATGCAGGACAGTAGGTGCAAAGCTGCTGCACTGGCCCTCTCTGAAGCCAGTGCTCAGGTCATGCCACGCGCCAAATTTAACAAAGTTCACCAAAAAAAATTGAGGTACAAGTGTTTGGAATTACTTATTCTTGATAGACTGATGGCAAGAACTAGCACACCTGCAGAACTACTATCCTGTATGATTCCCAGGCACGTGCAGAATAATTCTTGCAATGTTTCTTAGCTGAAAGGAAAGGTTTGCTCTTAGATCATACCAACTCATTTCCATTGTCCAGACTGGAAAAAACTAGGCAGATGGATGGAATTCACATGCATCCTGAGTGTACTGCATGTGTACTCGCTCGCTCACTCGCTCTCTCTTTCACACACACACACACACACACACACACACACACACACACACTTTTTATAGGTGCAGATGTATTAACTGAGCCCTGGCATACTTGCATAAGGTGGTGCCAACCCTAAATATGTTTAGACAGCAGCCCTAGTCTTATAAATGGCTAGCTGGGTGCACAGAAATTTGCTGAATTCTTCCTGTCCAACCACGCCCAGGACTGTGCCCTGGAGTGAGATAATCCAGTGCACAGCTCATTCTGGCACTTGCTGGGACTGAATGCTCCTAGCACAACCAACGCGCAGCAGCATCCTAGAGCAGAGCTCACTAGGAATGGCACGGAGGAGCTATTTTATGAATCCTCTTCTCTGGATTCCTTTTCCCAAGCTCACCACCTCTTCCCTGGAAAGAACGCCTGAAGCGACTGTCATTTTCCTTAAAGAAACAAAATGGCACAATCTTCTCCCCACATAATTCCCCCCCCCCTAGTGTAAATATTATTCTGAATTGTGGCACCGTATTGTTGAGCCTGAAAACTCCAGGCATCTGCCAAAGGCGTCCCATCAATACTGAAGAGTATTGGAGAGAATCCCAAGGGATATGTTTTGATGAGCCTGAAGTCTGCAGGCCTCCTTTTAAAGGGTCTTTAATGGATCCAATTCCGCCTTTGTGCCTGGGAGTACAGTTTGGCAGAGCACAGCCTGAGGAGTGTGATCAGCAGAAGGCTAGCTGAATCAAGGTTTAGTGTCAGCGCAAGTTATATACATACATATACACATTTTCCCCTTGAATTCAGTTGTCCTCCTCCGGACCCCCAAGTTCAACAACAGCAGGGGATCCAAGGGAATGCAAAACCGCAGGTAAACTCTTAGGAATGGCTGCATAGATGGGTCCTAGTTAGCTATGTTAACAGGCGGGCTCGCAGGGAAGCATCTGCTCTACCGAAGGTCCAGCACCACCACTTCGCGCTCCATGACGGTCACGTGGTTGCAGGTCTGGAAGGGAGAGAAGCGAGCCGAGGGTCACGACAGCAACATTCACGGCTGCCCCTGACCTGAGGAAGGCGGCAGCTGCACTGCAGCGCTGCTTCCATGGGCCTCCCGTCCCTCTCACATGAGCTCAGCAACGCTTAGCGCGGAACATTCCAGAGCCACGCTTTGGTGGGTGACCCTCCAAACACACGTGGCAAGGGGCAGGAAAGCCTTCAGAATTTAAGACATGGACCACAGAACATCAGATACGGGCCAGGCTCATGGGCTGCCAGCAGGCCGAGATGCAAACTTTCAGCAAAATTCATGAAATGGCCACACTTGAAGGACGCTTAACACCAGGTCTGAAAGCATCGCTCAGCTCAGTAACGTTCCGAGTGAAATGTGCGGCGGGAAGAAGCAAGCAAGGGTCATTCTGTGGGGCACACTTTGCCTGCCCGCCATGAAAATCCTGGTGAGCGATGGCCCGGCCGGGAGGCCACGGCTCCCTGCCTCTCCCCCATCTGCTCTGGGCCGGCACCCCACGCAACCGCTCCTCGCACAAAGGGCTCCAGATTCTGCCTGCCACCATGAAGCCGCCTGCCACGTGGCACGGGGACTTGGGCTGCAGCTGTTACCAGAAGGCACTGCCGCAGCTCCTCCAGCTTTTTCAGGTCTGACCTGAAAGAGTCAGGAGAAAATCTACAGTGTTTTGCCCCCATGGCAGTTTGATCCTCCCTAGAAGGGGAGAGCCTAAAATAATGGGACTGTTGGGGAGGAGGATCCCTCTGATGTCAGCAGGAATTGGGATGGGGATCTTCTGACCAGCACAGAAGATCTGGCGCTACAATGAAGACTTTGGAGACCTGGCCAGAACAGAGCAAATAGCAGGAAACACGGGCTCTTCTCACGGAATACTCACAGTGAAGAGAGGAGGATCTTTGCAGTGTGGATGGAAGCCTTTTTGCCTACAGGAAGAGATCACTTCCATGCCGTGATCCGTCAATTTAAAGAATCCTGTCCTAGAAAAGCAATTGGAACCAAAATCAGTGGAATGCCAAGCTGGCAGATGGCTTCAGGGGGACAAGTTTCTTTTGCTCCTCTTAAACAGGGCCAGGAGCGTGTTGGACGCATTTGAGAGAAAGGGCCATGAAGGTGCTCCTTGCACGCCCGTGTACAGCAAGAAGCAGCTCCAGCTTTCGAAGGATCCCTTCCGTGGCTCCGACTGGATCACTTGAGGTCTCCTCTGCTGGATGGACTCTTTGGGCCTGGCCAAACTCCCAGGAGGAGGAGGAGGACACAGTGCAGGATGGAGGGGCGGCTCACACACTTTTGCCGGGCCGTGCTGTGCAGATAAAGCGCCAGATACTCACTCTTGATATTTCGGTGAGCAGACAACAGCTACGGACTCGGGCATCATCATCTGGTAGGAACAGTGTGTGTGCAGGTCCACGCTGGAAAGGAACGCTGTTTGGGTCGGGTGGGTCTGCGCAAGGAGGGGAGGAAACTAGAGCCAGGCCCCAAGAGAGTCGCACCCGATCCTCCCCAGCACCAACCGAGAGGTACCTGGTTGGCAGGGGAACTAAGCACCACGGTGGCGCAAGCTTGCTCGATGCCTCCAGCAGAAGGGCAACGGGGAGCGCCCCACAGGGATGCTCTCCCCACCAGGAGTCCCCCCGCAGGCGCCAGGGCAGCAGGGACCGTGCTGCCAGCCCGGGCACTTGCCCCTGTCCCTCTCGGCCCAGGCTGGCCACACCCCACCCCCATGCGGACCGCGCGCCCCGCGGGCCTGGAGTGAAGACGCACATGGATCCACCCCAAGGTGATGAGGCTGCACTGGTCCTGGATCACGAAGAGCTCCTCTTCATTCTCCGTGTTGCAGTAGTCGGGCCCCCCTGACTGCTTGGGGACGATGACGTGGGTCACTGTGAACTCGTCCCTCACCTGGGGGCAGAGTGGCATCGGCCCTCCTGAGGCACCCAGACAAGGCCAGCCGCGCACCCCGTCAGAAGGCCCGGCGGCTGCCAGGGCTGCACCGGAGGCGACTGGCCATGCTGCTCCAGGGGTGCTCAGCACACAGACCCGCCCCGGTTGTCCAGCGCCAGCGCCAGGCCACCCCCTTCAGAGGCAGGCAGCCAGCCAGCCAGCCAGCCAGCCAGCCAGCCAGCCAGGGCAGCGCCGTGTGGCCCTGCTGCTGCGCTCTGTCCCAGAGAACGCCTGCCTCCTGCCCGGCCCACCGGGCTTGCACTTCCCTCCCGGCGGCACTCCACCGCCCTTCCCATGCTGCAGGCCTCTGCGACGGCATTCTCCAGATCCTGCCCCTCTTTCCTCCGGCACTTCCTCCTCCATCCACATTCACATGAGCACTCCCCCAGGCCTGAGCGGGCACAGTCCCGCCCGCTGGCAGCCCTTCTCCATCAGGGCCCTCCCAGGGCACTCACCTGGGGGTGGCAGCGGGGGGGAACCACCGGGTTCCACAGTCCTCAATTAGATCTCCCCCAGTGCTCCTACGAGGCACCATGGAATTAACAGGGCAGGTCTCGGGCTCCAGCCATGGGGTGGACACCCCCATGGTTGGAGGAAGAGGCTTGGGGAAGTGACTGCACCCCAGAAATCCTCCCTGGCCTCCCCAGTGTGCATCCCTGGCCCACGGCGCTCCCAGCCGCCCGGGGATGGCGGCAGGCCACTGCCGGAGCTGGCTCCTTCAAGGGACCGTACGGGTGAGGCGCCCCGAGTTGTCTTTGGTCCTGGTTCTGTATCACCGGGCGGCTCCAAGCTAACGCATGCCTGGGGGGAAGGCCATGGGGTCAAGCAGGGAGATCACGGGGCATCGGTCCGTGTGATGACGGTGGCAGGGGAAACGGTGCTGGCGGGGTGAGGGGACACCAGTGTGCCTACAGCCAGGTAGATTCAGGGCACCCACCACCAAGCAGAGGCGGCAAAGGAACAGCTTCTCCCTGTTCAGATGCACTCTCCTCTTTCGCAGGGCTGCGGAGGGCCTGCTGCCCCCTGGCCCCACACGCGTCGCACCACGCAGCTTCAAACGCGCCCCGAGGGGTTGGCACTCTGCTATCTGTTAAAGCCTAACATTGGACTCAAGCGATATGAGCAGCTTGAACTTAAAAACCAACAGAAACAAGTTGCCCTGAAAAAATCCGAACTGAAATAAGATCCTCAAAAATTAAGTTTAAAATAACATCCACCAGGTGTGGTACTAACACACACTGCAGCATAAAGACGTTCGCCCAGACCATCTGCCCAGCAGCAAGGGGCCACTGCTGCACAGCCCCAGCTGTGATGGGCGTCTGCCTCTGGGGCCTGTCTGCCTGCCTGCCCGCCCACTCCGCTCCTCCGCTCAGCACAGGCACCTGCTGCCCCTCCAGTCCATGGGAGCCCTCGCCTCTTCTTCCTCGTTAAACCCGCATTTCTGTAACTTGGAACCACCCAGGCTGAAAACCGCTCCATAAAAACTTGGTTCATCACACCCACTCAACTAGTTTTATGCATGTATAACATTGTTGGGATACGGAATCAAGTTCCGCACACGATGAAAACCGACAGAGGCCTTTCCAAATGGCCGCCACAGCAGGCCTGGAGCAGAGAGCCACTGGGGCGGGGCTTGCACACGACTACCCAGAAAAGCACCTTACCAGCTTTCCACAAAGGATCCCGCAGGTCTCCACGCCCCGTGCGGTGTTTGCATCTGCCAGCTGAAGAAATTTATGGCAAAGCTCCCTCGGGACAATAACATGGCGAAGTCCTTCTATGGCAGCATCTGCAGAGAGACGTTGTGATGAGCAAGGTTGTCAGGCCCGGCTCCAGCCTAGCAACCTGGACCGACCAGCTTTCCACGCGGCATTGCTTCCTTTTTCCAAAAGGAGCTTTCCAGTGCGTGTGCCCCTCCACTTGCGATCTTGAAGGGGCTCCCTGCGGAGGCAGGGCAGCAATTGCATCTGCTGACTGCATGCATCAGTGGCGGAAAAAGGTTGCTTTGAGGGCCACATCTGAAGAGCCCATGCTCCTTTCAGCCAGAGCCAGTGGCAGCCACTGAGGTAAACTGGCCTGCAGCGACAGGGAACCCACCCACATGAAGGAGTGGCAGGGAGTAGGCTGGGCGGCTCAGGCGGTGCCTCTGGCAGCCTTCCTGGCCGGCCCGCGAAGGCCCTCTTGGCTCCTGGCCCCGGGACCGAAAGCCAGCCTCTCTGCATCTGCTTCCAGAAGGTGTCCCTTGACTTGGAACCACCGGCAGGCTGCCCGGGCTCCAAGCGCTGTGTACAATTGCTCGGGTGGAGAAGCAGAGTGCAAAGCCACTGGAAGAAGAATTTTCTGGGCAACTGTTTATGAAACTTAGGTTGTGGAGACAAATAAGGGGCAGTAAAGGGATCCAGACATTTGCTAAGACCTCTATAGCTTGGAAAAATCTTGATTTTAAATACTAAAATATTGATTTTTGAAAAAGAATATTGTATAGTGTTTCAGCGGGAGGCTGAGGGGAAGCGAGGGTCTTTGGAACACAGGCTAACACACTGGTATAAACTTCTAAACAAGGCAGAGCAAGGCCATCCCAAGGCATACGAACTGTTTCTGAGGTTCCCCAATGCGCCAGGCTTCAGGGACCTGTCCACAGTCGGGGCCTTTGGCGGCACACCGCCCCCGCTGGGGCTCCGGGGGCCGAGGATCTCCGGGTCGGTGGGAGGCATGACCATTCCAGGTATCAAGGGGCCTTCCGAGGATTCAGCGGCAGGTGTCCCAAACTGCTGCACAATTTTCAGGCGCTCCTTCTCCAGCTCTTGGCGTCGGATCATCTCCTCGAAGGCGCTGAACTGCTCCTGCTCTGCCTGCTGCTGCTTCATCAGGGCCACTCTTCGCCTTTCCTCCTCCAGCTGCTGCTGCAGAGCCAGGCTGTGCGCAAACTCTTCTTCCTGCTTCTTCTGCCACAGGAACGGGAGGTAAAGAACCAGGTGAAATGCGCCGCACAGGCGTCTAGGCCAGCCCTGCATGGATCTCAGGCCCCCATGGAACACCCACAGCCTCTCTGACGATGGAGGGAAAGGGCTGGGAGTCCCTGCATGTGGGAGACCCAATCTTCAAGCCCTCCCAGCTGTTTTCTATGGATGTTAAATTGAGGGTGGGGGAGACTTTGGAACACAGTTGGCCAAACACCAAGGAATCTTGCAGGAGCCTGCCGACCCTGCCTGGAAACCGCCTCTCTGGGAAGACCAGCACCTCTGTTAACATGCGGGACACCTTGGCTGGCTGGCTGCAGTATAAGGAGAAGAGGCCCATATTCTCCTTTCTCAGCAACACGCAACAAAAAACAGCCAGCTGGTTCTGTAAACTCATTCATCATCCATCTTACGTTGTGTATGTATTTCCTCTGAATTATATGCTTGTTTGTTGCAAAGAAAAAAATAGCTAGAAATAGCTAATGTTTTAGCCTGGCTTATATAAGGTACTCTAAAAATAAAGATTACATCCTTGTTTGAACTTTGGTTGCAGCAAACATATTAAGCCCTCTTAAAACACCAGAAGCCCTGGAACCTTGGCACCGCTGCGGACCCACAGATCTCACCGGAACTGGCCCAGGATCACGGTATTCTTCACAATAACAGAAGGCAGAAATCAAATGGGAAGGAAAACACCAGGACTCAGTACTCCTGGGGGCTAGTCCTGCTTGGCCATGAAGATCACTGGGTGACTTTGGGAAAGCTACTGGCTTTCAGACTAGCCCTCCTCACAGGATTGTTGTGAGGGTAAAGTCAAGGGGACGGATCATATATACCACCTTGGGCTCATTAGAGGAAAGCAGGGAGAATGAATAAAGAGGCGTTATCTCACCAGCAGAGCTGAGCTCGGCCCCTACAGCTTCACTAGATAAGCAGGCCAAAGGACAGACAGGGCAATTCCCCAGAGAGCAACCATTTCCTGCAAGCAAAGGCCTTTGGGGGTGAGGTTTCATGCTGGAGCTCACTTGCTTACCTTCTGTACATTGTACTCTGCATATTCTTTGTTGTATTTTTCTAAAAGCTCCTCTTTCAGTTTTTCAGCTCTAGGAAATGCAACGTCTTTTAGTTTCTAGGTTGAAAAGGACATCATTGCATCAGGTGTTTCAGAACAGATGCCAGGACAAGCTGCAGTGCAGCAAAGCATTAAAAACACTACCCAAGGGGCAAGGAGCACTGCCTGCCACTGGCGAGTAGGTGCCGGGGAAAAGAGGGAGATGCCTGGACTCTAAAATCACGGGCCGCTATGAGCGTCTCCTGCCAGCAGCAAGGCCTTGGGAGAGGCATTCCAACTTTCTTGTATGGGGAAAAACTGCACAAATGCCAGGAAAAGAGCCAACGGCAGGGAATGTGTGTGTGGCCACCTGGGGGACCCCAGCGGGCTGCATTTAGTCCTTGACCTGAGGATTCCCACCCCAATATATCAGGTTAAAATTCCCACCGAGTTTTTCACAATATGCTTGAGACACAGTAAATGGGTAGCTTAACCTGCTTTTTCTGACTGCCAACATCTAGAAGCAACATCTTTTCCACAAAGGAAATTTGATTTTTTTCCAGGATTCACACTTACTTTCACTGTCTCTCTCTTCTCTGGAATAACAGCAGTTTTGTAATCGCGATGCTTGGGCAGCTTCTCTATGAAGAGCCTAGGAATAAAGGGAATACAAGGAACTGGCAGCTAAGGTGCAAGAAGGAGAACGATGCTTGCTTCCGGGGTGCTGTGCTATGGGTAAGCCCATATGGATAATTCCAGTGATTAAGATCTAGCTCACATATGCTGCCCAGGTGGGGAGTCGAGGAGCAGAATGGGAGAGAGAGAGTTTCAAGAGCTAATCACACTCTCCTCACAACTCAAACAGCTTCTTTTCGATACACAGAAATGCTGAGTGCAAAAAAGATCATTTCTGGAAACTGCCTCTCAAACAGTATCAGCATCTCACATCTAAAGGCATCGTTTCAAGGCTGGAAGAGTTGTCAAGTCACGGGACCTTGGATTCTTCCTGGGAAATTGAACCTGTGATGCCCACACAGCTCAACTGTGAGCCTCAACTCACCGGTTAACAGGAACGTAACTCTCTGCAAGATGGGCTCCTGGCTGGTGGGATTCTGCAGCTTCCCCCCAGCAAGAAAACCGCTACATCATGTTTCTCCAGGTGAAGAGGATGTCAAGATGACTTGTGCAAAGAAGGAAGAGGCTATTGTTACTCTGCAAGTCCCTTCCCCTTAAGCATTGTCCACGTTACTCCAAGCACAGGCTTGTGCAAATGAAATGTGTTCTACTTGCTTCCCATAACTGTAATAATTACAGTTATAATTACATAATGCAGCAAACCAAATCTACTTCTATTCTGGGGCTGATTTCGGCCAAGAAAAATCAACCCTGAACCGCAGGCCAGAGCCAAAGCTAACCAAGCCACCAAGCCACTCTAAACAAAACTGCTCACAGATTTACATCAGTACAAGCTTTACTGTTTGCATTCTTGAGAAACAAAGCCACTTTGCCAAGCTGCCTCTCAAAGGGGATACCTGAAACTGGGGAACAGTGTAACTCACAAGACAACAGAAGGCCGGCCAAATTATGTCCAAGTCTATTTTGCTTTCAGCCAGGATGGTCGTGTGCAATGCCCAGCGGAACAAAACTGGCACCGATGAAACAAGCCAGTGAGAGAGCTACATTTGTTCCCATGGGGCAGAACCACCACGAGAGCATCTATTTGGTTAAAGGAGGCTCCCAGGCCTGCCCACAGGGAGTGGAGCTGGAAGCACGCCAGCTGACTTTACACTTGACAGATCTCTTGGCCACTAATGCCCATAAAAGTGGAGGAAGCGCCAGGGGTTCAGGGAGACAGGCAGTGATGCGAATCATGAAAAAATGTACTGAAAGTGCTGGGGCTCTGGTCGGGAGCTCACGCATGCACCAGTGCCTGGTGGGGAGCAGTTGAGACCAATGGCAGGAGCAGAAAGTGGGTGTGCTGGGCTGCTTTGTGTTGGGATGAGAATCCTCAAGCGGAAAAAATGCTTATCTGGGAGTACATCCTAATAAATATGAGGGCTACTTCAGAGTTATACATAGGATGCTAACTTGTAACCTCAGTACACAGAACTGAAGGCAAGAAGAACAATGAAATAAACTGGACTTGGAGGAAAGGCACCCAAAATGTCTCAGCTGCAAGACAGTAAAACTGCCTTGCTTGGGAAATGAATGCCCGTAAATCTGAAAATGAATACCCGCACAAGATGCGCCCTGGACATCAAGCCGTGAAAAGAGCACCAGTATACCTTCAAGGCTACAAAGAAGAGTTCTCTGGGGATACAGAGCCTGAGAATGATTTTAAGGAACTGCTGGAGATGGCCAGAATTGAAAAGACACTATTAAGAAAACTGGAAGAATCTCAAGAGACGAAAACAAGTGATAATGCCTTCCAAGAGAAAAAAGGGCATTTCCCCTCAGCTCTGACTTATAACACTTAGCACTTCAAAGCAAAAAAAGCTAATATTCAAGAACCATAAAAATACAAATATTTAAGTTAATATTCAAGCACACATAAAATACAAATATATCTCACTTAAGGTGCTTCACGATAAATACAAGTTTGAAAACATCTTAATCAGAACATAGTATAAAACAAATAAACATGCGACAATAAAAGGAATAAACAGCACCAATCAAATATGCCTTCAGCAATAGGCCAGCTTATATGCCACAGGCCTGCCTGAATAGAAATGCTTTTGCCTGATGGTGAGAAGCCAATCTAAAGGTCCAACTTAGCTCCCTTGACAAGGAATTCAAAGCCTGGGCTTCACGATCCAGGAGGTTTTATGTCCATGCAATGTCCCTCTGATAGCAGCAGGGCCAAGAGAAGGGCCTCCTCCAAAGATCTTAAAAACCTAACAAGCTTGAATGGGAGGAGGCAGTCTTTCAAGCACCTGGTCCCATACAGGGTTTTATGGATCCCAGCAAGCACTTTGACATTCCCAGAAGCAGGACTGGTAGCCAGCCGGGAGAAATATCAACAACCTCAGATATGCAGATGATACCACTCTTGTGGCAGAAAGTGAGGAGGAACTAAAGAGCCTCTTGATGCGGGTGAAGGAGGAGAGTGCAAAAGTTGGCTTGAAACTCAACATTAAGAAAACTAAGATCATGGCATCCGGTCCTCTCACTTCTTGGCAAATAGATGGGGAAGAAATGGAGGTAGTGACAGATTTCATTTTCCTGGGCTCCAAGATCACTGCAGACGGGGACTGCAGTCAAGAAATTAAAAGATGCTTGCTCCTGGGGAGGAAAGCTATGGCAAATCTAGACAGCAGAGACTAAAAAGCAGAGACATCACGCTGCTAACAAAAGTGCGTATAGTCAAGGCCATGATTTTCCCAGTTGCAATGTATGGCTGTGAAAGTTGGACCATAAGGAAGGCTGAGCGCCAAAGGACTGAGGCCTTTGAATTGTGGTGCTGGAGGAGACTCCTGCGAGTCCCTTGGATTGCAAGGAGATCAAACCAGTCAGTCCTAGAGGAGATCAGCCCTGACTGCTCTTTAGAAGGCCAGATCCTGAAGATGAAACTCAAATACTTTGGCCACCTAATGAGAGGAAGGACTCCCTGGAGAAGAGCCTGATGCTGGGAACAATAGATGGCAAAAGGAGGAGGGGACGGCAGAGGATGAGGTGGCTGGATGGAGTCACTGGGGCAGTGGGTGTGAGCTTGAGTGAACTCTGGGGGAGGAGTGCTGTCCATGGGGTCGCGATGGGTCGGACCCGACTTCATGACCGGCAACAACAACATGCCAGTGACGTTAGCCCTGGCTAGCACTGTGGCCACAGCCTGCTGTACTAGGGTGATTCAGAACAGTTCCCAAAGGCGGATGAGCACAGAGCATGTTACGGTAATCCAGTGAGAACATGACTAAGACATGGTGGATGATGGCCTGCTCTCCAGCAACAGGTGGAGCCGTGCATGTGCCTCAGATGTGCAAACAATCGTGCTGAAAGCTGAGCATTCAGGTTCAGGGGTGAACTCAGGTGTACAGCCAGGCTCTGAGCCCGAGTACCTCATCCAACACAGGCTGAACCCCTATCTCCTGACCTGCCTGTGATTATACAGCGGCACCTCTATTTTGTCTGGATTAAGCTTTGACTTATCCAGCCAATTGCTAACACCGAGCATCAGTTTAGAACTAAAACAGCTTCTCTGCACTTACATGGAAAGAGGCGTTGCTAGAATGTTGGAGGTGCTGAGCCCCCAAACCCAATCCTAACCCCAGCAGTTTCACAAAGATACAAAACAGCATGCGAGATAAAATGGAGCCCCGAGAGACAGCCCAAACCAATGGTCACAGCACTGAACAGGTATCCCACACTACCACCTTCTGAAATTCCCCTCCAAGAACAAAAGCCATTGCTTCCCAAGCCAGAATGCCTCGGAAAGGTACCATGGCTGACGTTATCAGGCACCACTGAAAGGTCCAACAGACCCAATGGAGAAACACTCCTCCTCAGTCCAGTTCCCAGTCTAGATCATCCACTAAGGCGACCAAGGAAGCCTCCATCCCATAGCCAGCTCTGAAGCCAGAGTGAAACGCCTCTCGATAGTTCCTCTCATCCAAAAGCCCTGCAGCTAGGAAGCACCACACTGCACCATCTCCGTCAAGCATGGGGTACTGGAGACGAGCCAGAGACTATCCAACGGAAAGGGTGGTTTTGTTTGTTTTTAATGCACATCTTCCCATGTCCCCATTTTACCCATTTTCCATGTCTGAGACATCACTAGTGATAACCACCTCCCTAATGCCTGTACCATAGTGTAAACAAACTTTCATTAAAAGAAAAAAGAAAAAATCAGAGGCTGAACTGTGCCAAAGTATGCACAGCCTTCTAAAAAAACCTGAAGTTGAATGTGAGCCAAAGTCTTAGACAGCAATAGCCCATGATTTTAGAAAGTTTCAATTTTTTTCTGTATAGCCCCTCTCCAGCCCTGAATCACAGGTCTTGTAAAACAAAAAGGGAAAAAACCAAACCAGTCCTAATGAAGATACTCAATGTCCCTTTCATTATGTGCAGGTGGAGCACTTGTCATCGCCTTTGAATCAAAATTGATGAAACTCTCTGCAAAGGTCAAAATGCTGGGCAGACCCTCAGATTTTGGTTTGGGATCCCACTGGCTTCATCTGGATGAGGCAACACCCGCCTTTCTCTGCTTGCAGACTGGGGCTGCGGGACCAAGCGACAACAGCTGTCCCGAGGTGGTTTCCGGGAGCTGCCCCGGAGACCTTGAGCGCCCACGGAACCGGGGCTCCGCGAGGGCAGGCGGGCGAGCACCGCGAGTTCCTTACGTGATGTACTTGTTGTACAGCATGAAGGCCCGTTCGATGTTGCCTTCCTCGCAATAGATCGCCGCCATCCGGATCATCTCCACTCCGGAGCGGTAGTACCTGCGCGGCGGGACTTCCTCGTTCACCTCCACGATGCTTCCCATCTGGATCAAGCCCCGGACACGCTGCTCCGGGGGCAGGCTGACGTCCGCGTGGTCGGGCATGGGGCCGGCCAGGCGTGTGGAGGGCCGCGGCCCGTGCCGAGCTCGCTGGAGCCTGCGGAAACGAGGGAGGGCCGGTGACGGGCGCCCCGAGTCGGCGCGAAGGAGCCCGGGCCTCGCTGCGCCTGGAGGAAGGCCGGCCAGCCGGCGGGCCGCCTAGTGAGGCGCAGGGCCGGCAGCGCGAGGGGGGCTCTGGGCGGGCGGCTCGCGCGGCCCAGGGGAACGGCCCCGCCGCCATGAGGGAAGCCCTTCGGGGCAGGGGGAGGGCGAGGGCGGAGGGCTGTCGCCCGGCGGGCGGGCGGCCCTCTTCCCCGCTCCGTGAACACCTCCCGGCCGCGCTGACCTGCACGGGGGCCTCAGTCTGGCGGCGGCGGCGGCGGCACCAGCATCACTCCCGGGAGGCGCCGAGGCAGCCACTTCCGGCCTCTCTAGCCCCTTCCCGGGCCACAAAGAGCAGGGGCGGAAGTGCGGTGCCGCAAGCTTCTTCCGGGGTGGGAGCCGCTCCCTGCGTCGCTTGCCCGGCTTCGACGCGGCTAGCGCGGCGGAGGCTACTCTGCCCCCCCCCCCCCCAAATCCTTCTCGCAATAACGCCGTTTCCAAACCCCTGCCATTACTGGGCGCCCTAGGCGGGGCCTGCGGGGAAAGGCCGTCCTCGAGGGACCGGGGCCCGAACTCTCGCACTGGCGTTTGCCATTGGGCTCGGGAGCAAACGGCCAGCCAGGGTTGGCGGGCCAAACCTTGAGAAATATGTTTGGGATGCCTGGTTGTAAAATTAGCTGTAGAAATAGTACCAAGAACTATTGTGAAGGACCGCCCCCCCCCCATTCTTCTCAAAAGGAGATTAGTAGAAGCTATCTGAAAAACATTTTCTGGGTAGCAGTTGCTCAAATACAAACACTTCAAAATGCATTTTTAAAATTTATTGCAGGGACATCCACAGCACTGCAGAGCAAAAACAGGCCTACCACTGTCAAATCAAGAGTTTATGGATAGTCCAGATGCTGCCATCTTTCATTCATAGCTTCCTCATCCCCCCCCCCACACCTGTTCCATCTTCTCTTCTACTGTAGAAAATTAGTTAAAGAGGCCAACTAGCCACATGAGGCCGTCTCCCTTGTGGAATTAGCTCTCCATCTAGACACACTGAGAGGCAGGCACTGGATCTTAGCTTCTGAATGCCAAGGAGTACATTTCTGTCTCAGAGGCTGCACCTGGTATCACACAGGTATGAGGCGACACATACACAACCCCGCATCAAACAGATGCAGAGAGAGTTAAGCCTTTGTTCCCTGCTGCTTGTATCACATGCTTGAAGTGTGAGCAGGGGCCTGCTTATCAGGCTTGCTGGCAAGCTCTCCTTCCTGAGGCCACATTAAACAGATGGCGGCATGGGCTCCCCTTGCTCCCATCAACTGCAGCACAGCCTCGATCATTCAGCCCCGTATGACCATGCCCATCAATACCAACGTAGGGCCTACAGTGAGAAAGAGCCTTTTGCCAGTGAATAGGGCTAAGCATGATGTCACCCTAAGGTGGAGGCATTGGAACCCCTGTAACATCAAAGCTCATCAATGTTTGCATGCCTATAAGCAAGAGAGGGCACAGAAGGTGGGTGCGTGGCCACTTGGTTCAGACTTCTGGGACCAGCAGGCTTTGCTGCTCATCCATTCTTGCCAATGGGAGCATCTCTTGTAAGCTAACCTGGATCGTATTTTTTCTTTGCGAGCCCCAGAACCTTTACACTCATAGGCAGGGCAATGCACCAAGCTAAGTGAGCTCTGCTCTGTTACAGCAGAAGGCAGAACAATAATTATGCACATCTCAAAGATGAGTCACACCTGTTTTTAAGGAAACTCCCAAACAGGACCCATTACCTCTGCAGGGCAGGAATTGCTTCTATACAGACGGCTGTGTTCACATCGCTTCACTAGCATCCAGAAACAAACTTCATCAGTTCAGTGACTGCTCCAAAACAATCCACCAGATAAACAGGATCACCTAAGAGTGGCAAGGCGATAACCTGAAATTGGGTTGCAGATTTGGGTGCAAGTGATCTATGAGACAGTCATCCATTTCAGAAGAATATTCAAGCCAGCTTCCCTATGGAAGCCTTGGTAGCACTCCATCTTCAACAACAGCAGGGGAAGGCAATCATTCCATAACACAAATTTTAAGGTCAATTTCTATAATTCTATAGAAATATAGAATTCTATAACCAGCTTCTGAAACAAGGAAGATTCTAGATCCCAGAGATGATTTGCAAATAAAATACATTTCAGGAGGTGAAGTGGGACTTCTCCTAGTGGTAATAGCGGCCATATCTTATATGTAACCAGGCACTCAGAAAGAAAGAAAAGAAGATGACAACAATGATGATCAAGGGAATTACACACAGCTGTAGCACTGCTTGCAACCCAGGACAGAGTGCTGGCCACACTGACTGCAGAAGACAGCCAGCAGGTTCTCATCCACAGAATAAAGAGCAAGCCAAGGTCAGATGTCTATTTCATTAGTATGAGATCAGGTTCTCCTTGCCTGTTACATTTAGGGGTAAGGATGGGGTCGTCTATCTATTTTGTACGTCCCTTGCTGTCGTGGATAATACCGATTTTGATTTTGAAAATATGGTCCTCGGTATTCTTGCAACTGCTGCTGGTAAGGTGAGTAAAACAACCCCTGGTTGGGACTGACTCTGTGACCGGGTCTTTGCTGGGGGACATTGGCTGCAGAGATGTGCTGAGGATTGTAAGACTGACTGTTGTCGTAACAGGTGATGAGATTTGGGTTCCTGGTACAATGCAGGTTTCTGAAAAAGAGACACAAGAAAGAGAAAAACATCTCTATCTCTAAGTGCTATGACAGAATTGCGCTGTAACCCTGCAACCCACAGGACAATCGGGGCCCTGCGACGTGCTTCTCCAATCGCTCTGGTTAATGACACAAATTCCAGTGACTGAGTCCGCTGCAATATGGCTGGGAAGCAGCATTAAAGCTGACAAGCAGTGCTGGCACCTGCAAGTCTCAGCCTAGGAACAGGGACATGCCTTACCAAACAAGGCTGAATGGAAACTCAGCTGCTTGTCTTTAGGAGCCAGCCTCTTACTTTGTGGCAAAAGAGCAGTAAGACTCCCCACACAGCAGAAACAATGCTAGGAGAGGTTACTTATCTCGGGTGCATTTCCCCTGGCAGGATACTATTCCTCAGCAGAGGCTAAGTTCCTTACTTGAGGCCTACTTTATTCAGAAAAGTGGCAGCAACAGCACTGCAGAAATTGAGATAACTGGCTCTCGGTCAGGAGAGCAGAGCCAGAAAACCGTTGTATGGACTTAGGGAGGGTTTCATGCATTTGGGGCACTCAAGATTCCACAACACAAGCGTATCTGTAAAACGTTGCCTCCTTCACCCCATGTGTTCACATTATGTTCTCTGCCCTCACCGCTGCTGAAGGGAACCTGGTAAGGCTCAGTGTCCAAAGCAGGGCTCAGCAACACATGCCACCCCAGCAAAGAGCTCCCTCTTTCTCTCACCAGCCAGCTCGTCACAGCGCTTTCAGAAACATGCTCTCAGGTGATGCAAAATGAAGCTAACACTGAGAATTAGACTGGACAATTTATTCTGAGGATGAGATCTGATCATTACGCTCTCTGTGGTATGCAGTGTGTTCAGATATAAACAGGAATGCTTGATAGTTTACCTGTGTGGCTTGTTTCCACCACCTCCTCCTCTCTTAGAAGGGAAGTGCCTGTAAGAAAAAGAATGCAAATAATATAGGAAATTTTGGAACTCAAATGCCTATTGCCATTACTATTTATTATATTTTTTCTTTTATTTATTTAAAGTTTTTGCATGCCGTCCCCTTGCCACATAGCCTTGGGACGGCTCACATATTTCTATCCCGCCCATAGCTGAAGCTCTCCGGGTGGTTTACAAAGGCAGCCGTGGCGGAAACGTGTGCAAGGGCCAACCCTCCGCCCATGAACTCTGGATTGTGCCCCTTCTGACTCCCACTAGATGTACTTGATTGCAGCAGATAGGAAAAACACAAAACCTTGGTGCTTCCCGTGGGAACTGCCGCAAGTGCTGTGAATTGTACTCAGCTGCTTCAAAACCAGGATTTGGGATGGGACCAGACTGTCCTTTAACCCAACTGCATCTTGGAACAGGCATGCCATGATTCCTTTAAAAGGAAAAAAAAGCAAGAGATTATCATTATCCAAGGAAAGTGCCGCTTTCAGAGGGATGCACAAGACTGAGAACAGCAGTTCACATGCGTCAGTTGGACACGAGCCGGTTACGTGTGGGTGCAGGCGTACCCCGACCGTCTGGCCAGGCAGCCCCTTTGCAGGATCCTCTCTCCATGTCTGCTCCCTGCTGCTCCCTGCCAAAGACACCGCAGGCTGTGGCCAGCGAGCTGCACAGTCCTGGCTAGACTCCTTTGGGCCTCTCACTTGTAGGGACTTTGTGCTAAAGCTCTTTGGAGGTGTAATGATAAGCCAGAGAATGCCCCTCCCCGTCTCTCCATGCCTGGACAACACCTGCCCAAGAACCAAACCGAGCAGCTAAGGCATCAGGTTTGCCGCCCCAGTGGCACCTGGGGAGTGAGCTGGAGAGCACCACAGCTCCGGCTTGCCTGCCGAGAGGCTACTGTGTGAAGATCCAGCTGCATTGTTTGCACAGGCTGGACTTGGGGGCCCTAGTATTTTTCAGAATAAGTACTGTAACCACACACACTCTTGGGGCCAATTATTACTGCAGGATCCTTTCCTCCAGCGAACTCTCTTGAGCTAAAGGCAACAGACCAGCTTGCAACATACAAAAAAAAATCCGTTACCTTCTTCCAAGCCCTCTCCTGAGGTCCTCAATATAGTTCTTCCTCTCTATACAATGTCCTCTGTGCCTGTTGAACACTGTGAAAGAAAACAGTTTCTTTGTCTCTCTTTGACAGCAAGCTCCAGGCAACCTAGGAAGGCCCCCTCTAAAACACTCCTTCAGTTACGGTGTGGGAAGCAGCAGTGGCTCAGGCCAGCACACGCTCCTGGCCTAACGCTGTTCTCAAGGTGGTGGTGAGGATAAGGGGGAGAGGAGGCTCACACACACTGCCTCAGATTCCTTACAGGGAAGAAGCAGGACAGAAACACCATAAATTAAACCAGCCTACATGGCCCAGCATGCAAAATGCTGCACCCATGTGCCTGCTGGACTCCAAACGGTATTCTGGGGCTCCTGGAGGTTCTCGGATGAAACAGCCAGTTGCCACTTCTGGCAATCCTTGTGGGCACAAACGACGTGGCCAAGCAGGGGGTGGTCAGGATCACCAGGGACTTCGAGGCCTTGGGGAAGGAACTCAGGGACCTAAAGGCCCAAGTGGCCTTCTCGTCGATCTTACTGGTCTGGGGATTTGGGCCAGGCAGGGACAGGAGGGTCGCCGAGGCGAACGACTGGCTTAGGGTGTGGTGCCAGAAGGAACGCTTCGGGTTCCTTGACCACGGCACCCTGTTTCTTGCCAATGGACTTCTGGCAAGGGACAGGTTACACCTCATGAGGAAGGGGAAAAGGTCCTTTGGAGATGCTCTAGCGAGCTTCGTCCCGAAGACTTTAAACTGAGCTGGGGGGGGGGTTCAGGCCCCCAAGAAAAGTGTCTGCACTGGACAAGTGTGGGGAGAGGATCAGGGCTCTGGGAGCAGGGTTTTAGAGGCACTGCAGGGACTGACAGGACTCCTACAGAAAGGGGCCAGGTATCAGGGAAGATGGGAGGAAGGAGGAGGCTGGGGACTCCAAAGAAAGGAAGTGGTGGGAAGGAGATGAGGTGCATGTACACCAATGCTTAGGAGCATGGGTAATAAGCAGAAAGAGCTTGAGGCTCTCCTGGGAATAGGAGGGTATGACCTGGTGGGGATCACAGAAACTTGGTGGGATGAAAGGCAACACTGGAATGTGAACATAGAAGGGCATCACCTTTTTAGACAGGACAGGACGGGAAAGAGAGGTGGGGGCGTGGCTTTATATGTCAGGGAAGGGATAGGATGCAGTGAGACAGGATGCAGCACAGATGGGGATTCGGCAGAGGCAGTCTGGGTGAAACTTAGGGGTTTTGACAGGGAAAGAGACCTGACAGTGGGGGTATGTTATCGCCCTCCAGGTCAACTTGAGGCCCTGGATGATGTCCTGACAGGCCAGATTCTAAGGATATCTCGGGGGAGAGACACAGTAATTATGGGAGATTTCAGTCTCCCGGATATTACTTGGGAGACTCACTCGGCGGTGACAGCCAGGTCACGTCGCTTCCCAGAAGCTATGGAGGGAGGGTTTTTCACACAGAGGGTCCGAGAGGCGACGAGGGGGGG